AAAAAGAAAGAAAGTTGAAAACCCCTACACTAGAGCACCCCTGACCCTGTTTGAAGACCTCCACTGAAGAACCGTGCGCGTCATGCGGCAGCCTGTTCCACTCTCGAACAGCCTGTCCGGGCAGGAAATTCCTCCCGATGTCCAACCTGAGCCTCCTTCCTGGCAGTTTTTACCCCCTGGTTCTGTTCCTGCCTCTTGGGGGGAACAGAGCGTAGGTCCATCCTCTCCTCCGTATGACAACCCCTCTCTTCCTCCTCCCAATTTCTCAATTTTGGGGCTAATTTCGACCCCAAGTCTGAAGGAGGGGCTACCTTATCACCAACTTTTTCAAGCTGGGGGGGGGAAAGCTTTCAATACATAAGACCCTGGGCGACCCTGCCTTGCATCCTTGCCCTGTGCATGTATTCACCCCATTAGCTTCCAAGGAGTTCATGCCCCCCCACCCCCTTTATTCAGTCTGGGAGCCCTTGAGGTTATTTCAAGGTAGACCTCAAGAAACAGGCCAAGCTCCTCAGCATCAGAGTTACGCTTGTGATGCAGAAGGAAGGAGGTGCCCGGTGCCTGGTCAGGGCTAAAATAATGAAGCCGTCCAAATGGAAACCTTGCTTGCTTTCTCTCTCCAAGATGGCATTCAGTGCAGCAAAAGGCAGAATTAGCAGTTCCTCAGGCTGCATCTCAGCAGGTGCTTTGAGGGAGAAGCATCTCATGTCTCCGGTTGGAGAATAGTCAGGCCCTCTAGTTAGCAGGCCAGCAAATGACTCCCCCATCCCAACTGTTGAGTCCTGGCATTTAATTCTCAAGTTATGAACATAATTCTGCCCATTTCAATGCAACTTCCCAACTGAGCATCTCAAGGACCTTTCTGAAAATGAGTCTGTGTTCTACTTTGGAGAGGAAAGCAGAGTGTGAGACGAAGAGAGGGAGGACCTACAAGGAAGGAGGTTCAGGCTAGACGTCAGGAGGGATTCCTTGACGGTGTGTGCTGTCAGCAGCGGGACAGGCTGCCATGCGAAGCAGCAAGTTCTCTTTCACAGCGGATCGTCAAACAGCGGCTGACAGAAATGCTCTAGTGCAGCAGTTCTCTCAGGATTCTTAAAAATGAGGCCTCCAAGGAACTGTGGTTTATGTGTTATGTCTATCAATAATGACTGTATTAGAAATTAAAACTCAGAAATTTGAGCAGAGGGGTGGGTTAGATGGCCTGTACAGGACCTTCCAACTCTATGATTCTACGATGCTGAAGATAAGAATGAAGCTGAAGGGGCTGATCCCAATTTTTAAGCCAGGTTGACGGGACAGTGCAGGTGGCCAACCTCCTGACGTTTTGTTCTTTAGTCTCAAGAAACAGCAGCGGCGTCTCTTCTGCTTCTCTTAGAAAAGAGGCCAGGAGGGAAACAAGAGGGAGCTCTTCCCTTCCTGCAAACCGCTGGAAATCATCTTCGGCCTTGGTGGGTTATGCCAGAAAAATTACGAGAGCAGCTGTGGCATAACACGATCCAAAGACAGGAGCCCACCAGGCTGCATAACCGCAAACGCAGCTGTTTACAAGTTGGCACAAAGGGTTGGGGAAATTGTGGGCTTGTGCTGAATTGCCACAATACAGCATGCCGTGCTGCACCAGAGACCCCGTTCTGCCTCTGGCCCATTACAGGAAGGCAACAGATGGAAGGTCCAGGCAGACGCAGCCTCTCGATGGAGAACTGAATCACCTGCAAGGTATTGCTGTCCAGCTACTAACCCATCAAATGCTGTAAATGCCAGGGTGGGAAAGGGGGGTGCACCTCTGGATACTGCAAATGAACAATCTTTGGATGCAGGCAATACACAGGAATGAAGAACAACATGCTGGAGACAATAACGCCAGCTCTCCTAGAGTCTCTTAGGCAGGAGGGCTGACAGACAGAAAGCTCTCAGAGTGATGGAGGAGGGTGGCTGATGAAATTAACTGTCTCGCATATTCAGCCATTTTGTGTCAGCCCAATTGCCTTGCCAGAACAGAGCCTCTTCATGCAGAAACTGCTTTCCAATCCACAGACTCTCAGAAAAAAAGCACACTAATGGGGATGAAACATTCAAGCAGGCTAGGCAGGCGCTGCGCAATGCTCTCTTGCTATGTGCCTCTTGCCTCTGGTGAGTAGCTGCGCTTTCCAGGCAAGCAGCCGAGCGAAAAATTCTATTGGGTGCTTCTGGGCACAAAATGCCCTTCCTGACCCTTGGGACAGAGACATCACTGAAGTGTAGAGACTCGAAAGAATAGCAAATACACTCCTTTCCTTACCTGAAAATACACGCTGCTCCGAAACCTGGAGGGAGAAGTGAGAAAAGTGGCCCAGCAGCTGAAAGGGGACTTATTTATTTATAAATTGTATTTATAAGCCGCTCGTCTCATTACAACTCTGGGCAGCACGCAAATTAAAACAACATTCAATATAGTCAAAAACAAAATTAGGCAACCCCCGAGAACTAAAATACAAATGCGCTGACAAAATCTTCCCCACCTCCGGTGCCTGGGGGAAAAGCCAGGTTTGCAAGGGGCACGGAAGGGTCCCTCCCTGGGAGAGGCAGAGAGGCGCTTAAAGGCCTTCTCTGCTCCCTCCTACCAACGGAGAGCGCTGCAGCCCTCCAGAGTTGGGGCTCAGTTGGGCCCTATGCTAATTCCCTTAGCTGTGGCCCCTCAAGCACCTTGAGACTGTAGCCCTGCCTGAATTCCGGCAGGGTGATTCTCAGCCACAGAATAGCACAATAAATATAGGAATATAGAACAAGGGAATTGAAATGCTTCCTTTCCACCCTTAAAAACCGCTCCATCCACCCGCGACTGGCCCAAAACATCCAGCCCTGATGCTTCTGATGCTACTGTGTTACAGGAAAGCCTCCTGTGGCCCTCCAACTGATGGGAAGTTTGTGCGATGACCCCCACGCCAAACAGCATGGCTCACGTTTGCTGCTGCACAATAAAACACAGCCGGAAAAGGCAACAGAAAGGTCTTAATAGAAGCATCAGGGGTTCCGACGGGTCTGGCCAGAACGCCGGCAACGTTCTGCTTCGGAGGCGAGTCTGACCTCAGAAGGGCCAATCCTGCCTGTAAAACTGAGCTGTAAGCCAGGCCGCCTTCAGGAAACTCAAGAAGCACCTTCCTTTTAGCAAGAACCCGCCAGATGCACTGAGCTGCTGCTAGGGTGTGCTCTGATATCTAGATAGGGATTACAAGCTGGCACAAAATCCCCTGAATATCGAGTGGACTATAAATACTTCAACAAGAATGTCAGGAACGCCGTCTGAAAACTTCATATATGTCCACTGGCTCCCTACGTTATGTCCTAAGGATACCGAGAAGCCCCAGAAAAGAGATCTCGGCACCACGCAGAAGGGGCTTCATCACAGTCAGCTCTGAGACTGCCAGAAACTGTTTGTTTGCCTGGGGTCAAAAGACCCGGGGATGGCCACAAACAAGCAGGGATCCCGGCGCAAGCCACGGCTAAAAGTGTGCGTGGAGGGCACCTTCAGAAAGAGCAGGTAATCCCTGTATTCCTCAGTTAGTTAAGGACCCCAAACATAGCAGGAGCTATCATCGCAGAGGAACAGGAAGATGGCCTTGAAGAAAGTACGTGGCAGCTGTTACGAAAACATGAACTCAGCCTGGGAAGGCAGGAAGAGTGAGAAAGAAACTCAAGCTGGCCCACTTTCATTCTGTTACGAGGGAAGGGAAAACACTCTCAGGCTTTCCAAATTCTGTCATTGTGGCCTATATTAATAAAGTAGAGTTCTAGTATTTCTTGCGGAGTGTGTTTCTGGACCTGGCCTACCTTGAAGGGCTGACAATCATACAAACAAGGCTCTGGAGGAAAAGGCATGGCACCAGTCCTTTTTGTCTCTCTGCTTGCCCCCCACCCTGACAGTGGGGCCTACGAGCCACTCTAAGGCAAGAGCTGCACAGTGGAAGAGCCCCAGCTCCCTGCCTGGGGAGGAAAACGGGGGGTCCGGCCTCTTCCCTTTCCCTGCATGAACCAGCGCTCTCGGCTTGAGAGAGGCAGGACCTTCTGAGCAAATGATGAACCGCCTTAATTAGTATTTGCCAAAGTGCCTGAAAATCTCCCTTCACTGCCCTTGACACTACTCAGCCCAGCTGAGTTGCTGCTGGATCACGGTTTCTAGGCCACTGCCCTTCTCCAGCAAGCAAGTGCGGGAGAGACCACTTCTAGGCCAACCTGCGCAGTTGTTCTGCTCTCAGGCTGCAGAGGCGTCCAGCTGGTGCAAAGGGATGCCCTCCAGAAGTTTAAAATATTAAGGCTTGGAGCAGGGACGGAAAATGCCGGCAAACAACCTACCCCTGCCCCCCCGCCCCCTTTAGTCCGACCTCACCTTGAAGACTGTGTCCAGGTATCAGACTTCAAGGATTCAGGGAAACTGGAACAGGATCTGAGCAGGCCCAGGAAAGTCAACCCTAGAAGAGAAACTGAAGGAGTGGAGGCTCCTAAAGCTTGAGAAAAGACGGCTGAGGGGGAGGACAGCCCCCTCCAAAGACGGGGAAGGATTTCACTCAGGAGGAGGCAGGACCTGTCCTCTCTCGTCCCGGTTTCAGCTACCGGGAGGCAGATTCCGACGGAATGTCAGGAAAAGCTTCCAAAGAGGAATTGCCGTTGGCTGGGGGAGCCTGCGAGCCAGGGGGGTGGAGCCCCCTTCCCTGGAGGGGTTCAAGCAGAGGCTTCAAGGTGGAGTCTGCCCTGAGCAAGGGGTGGGATCTGACGGCCTATTTACATATTCAACAGTTCTATACTGGCCTAATTTCTCACAATTCAAGGCAGTTTACATAACGATAAAGTACAATCAAATACAATAAAAATTACAAAAAGCAACCCAACTCCGCTGTCCTTCAAAACACACACATTCACACAAGGAAACAAAACCCCCCCCACCAAACACCCACCGCGACAGGAAAGTCTTCACAGCTTTTGAAATGCAAGAATGTTGGGGATTCCTTCACTCCATAATATGGGGGCAACTGCTAAAACGGCCTGCCCTCAGCCCCCTACCTCTCATAACTTCCCACGGGATGGGGACCCTCCGTAGCACACGCGATGAGCTACTCTACCCAGGTGAGATGGTCCTGCAAGCACGCAGACGCCGAATCGTGTAGGGCTTTACAGCTAAAGCCAGCAGCTTAAACAGGGCGCAAAAATGTCTTTAAGGGCAGTCCTATATAGGGCACGTCAGAATAGCAAGGGGCTCCTTCACCTGCTAGGATTCTAGGCTGTCTTACTCAAAGCATATTCCCCTGACAAACACGTGTTTATGTAAGAACCACCTTGGAGATACATAATGAAGATTGACATGTACTTCCTGTCTTTTCTCCAAGGAACTCATGGTGCTGTACACATTCTACTTTCTCACATCCCCCAGTACTCTGATGGCAACCCAACAATGCCAGTTAAAATCCAGGCCACCTGGGCATTCTAGGAGACTTTGCTCCATGACTCAGTCTCCCCAGGCTAACTTTGCACTCTGCTGGTTCTCCATGTTCAAGCGTTGCAAATCAGTTCCTCCAAATTACTGGCTTACAAAAGAAGGCACAAACTTACTGGCTGCTGGTAAAGGACAGTTCCCCCTCAGCTTCACCCACTGTGTATCCCTCCTTAGGCGCAGCGAAGTCACAGCCTCTAAAATTCCTTGCTGGTGTGGAACAAAGCAGCAGAGAAATAATGGAACGATTACGAGGCCTTTCATTGTGCAATTCAATGTGCAAAAAAAAAAAAAAAAGTTCAATGCAGAAGACCAGGTTCTCTACTCCCATCCTGCCCAAACAGGCATCTGAACAAATAAAACCTGACTTTAATTGCCTGTCAAATAAATGCAGCGGACACTTTAATTTTCTTTCAGTAGCAGCTGTAACATATTCATAAATCAGAGAACTGAAACGCTTCATACTGAATGACAAGTTTAAAAGGGGGGGGGGACAATGAACTGGAGAGAACAAGGGCAGTGCTAAAGGGAGCAACATTTCTTACATTTTTATGAATATCATAAATCACTTAGATACAGAAAACGAGAGCGCTCTTACCCCTTCAGCAATCGTGTTGGCAGGTCATGTTCCCCAAAAACACTGAGGAAGAGACAAGCCCGATGAAGAGCTACCACCGAGCAGACAGGATTATGAGCAAAAGGCAGATCTCTCCCTTCTCAAATGCCAGGTGAGAGCACAAAGGCTCACCTGTCCCCTTCTGCTCTGCCTCTTTAGCACTACTTAATGCTGTAGAGTGGTGGTTCCCAACCTTGGCAGCTTTCAGAGGTGTGGACTTCAACTCCCAGAATTCCCCA